ACAACCCCCCCCCCCCCAAAAAAAAAAAAAAACCCCAAGGAAAAAGATGTACTAATTCTATTGCAGATATCACTTTAGCAAATCACAAGTGGAACCCAGATCTTCAGGCTTGCTGAACACAAAATAATCCTGCCTCAGCAGGACGCACTGGCAAGGGAGTTTTAACTTCTGCAACGCTAAGGTGTGACTTAATAGAGAGATAAGACACAGACAGCAGTTGCATCACTAAATTATTCCATTAGCCCTGGGCAGCATGTTCCCAGACTTTAAAAGGAAAGTTAGTCTGGTATTGGCCATTTCTAAGTGCAGAATCCAGGGCAGGTTAGGCACCAATAACTGGTTCAAAGAAACACCTCAAGGATCAACACCGTCATCAGCAGGATGCTTTCCCAAAGGTGGAAGGAAGAGTTTCTTCTGCCCCTTACCCCAACAATTGTCTCAGTTACTACATTGGAGGGGAACCCATTGCAGCAGGGTGGGGGTTTAGGTGGGTGCGTGCCCCCCTGGACAGCAGGCCTCTCTACAGCACCAAATGCACTGAAGTCAGCCAGTGGCAGCAGAGGTGCACTTTTTACACGGTCCCAGGTCTAAGATGAGAGCTGCTGTTGACTTCACCTCTCACAGGCTTCCTGAAAACTTATTTGTGCCAAAGGCATTCCTTGTAACCTCCACCAGCTTGTAATGAGTGTGATGATACGCGAAGCTGGTCGTGCTCCAACACGGAGTTATTTGCTCCATCTCAAGAGACTGCAAAGCAACAAGGTGAAGCTGCTTGTAAGCAGCCTACGGTTTTAGGGGAAAACACACCTCATGAGGTATTTAGCACCATACCCTGCCCTCAGGAAAGTTGCTCCTTCTGATGTATTTGGCTTTTACCATGTTTGTTCTCCCAGCTGAGGAGCTCCAAATCCTGCCCCCTACCCCCCTTCCTCAGTGATGGGGAAAGAACTCCAGCACACTCAACAGGCCCTGCCAATTTTGTCTGAGGCAGGGGGAGCAGTAACTTAACATTGCTAAACATGGTACATGCATCATTACAGCCCCAGCCTTGGGGCACTGTCATGGTTACACCCTGCTCATGGTATGCAAGAGACCTAGAGGGCATTGCAATGCATTTTGCCTTCAACCACTAGCCTTTGGCTTTCATTTGCAGTAAATACCCCACTCTGCATGATCAAGTAGGTGAGTGGGAGGGAGAAAAGAGCAAGTGGAGACTAACAGCAAAGATTTCTATCACCTTGTGGCAGGAACATCTGGCTCAGCATGGGCAAATCGGATCCCTCAGACTTATCCGACTTCTGCGTGCATGCCTGTACCAGTGTGTGCTCCAAGAGTGATTACATCTTCCAACAGGGAGCTGTGACCAGACCTGCGCTTGGGATGCAGACAGCAATACTGGAGACTGCTCCACCAGGGCTTCAAGACCTGGCTTTCTAAGCTCTCTCCAAGCAGGTGGGTTATTTATTTATTTGTTTTTAAGCACAACACTTTCCCTTCCTCACCCCTCTTCAATTTCACCTTCAACCACTCCTTTTTCTCCCTAAGAAATTCTAAAATTTCTGCAAAAGCAACACAACTGCAATTGTGTTTAGATAGGCTCCAGAGGATCACGTATGCTTGTCTTCCCTTTACCTTTCCCCTACTTCGTCACGGTTTGATTCCAACCTTGCAGCACTTTTATTAGTTTGCTTCCATCCGGAAATAAGCACTGGTATCTAATTTGCAACACACCCATAGCAAAATGAAGGTGAGGGGGTGGAGCCAGCAAGCAGTCAGTTCTTTGCTATGCAATTAAACAAATCTGGGCAGGTCAAGTTTGCAGCTTGAGGCTCAGCACCCCACCCAGGGCAGTGAGGCAACAGGAATAAAGCAACCAGCCCCAGAGAAGCTAGATGCTGGTAATGGGTCTAACTGGCTACTTCATTAATCACTGCCAGCAAGAGGACGTGGCTATGGCCCATACTGCCAAGCAGCACCTTCTGTTATTTACCATGCACTCTGTAATGGTAAAGGCTTTAGATTTGTCAGGTGTGGAGAACTGGCTGGCAGCGCACAGGTAATAGTTTCAAGACCTGTTTCAACTGTTTCAGTGCCTTTGCCCAAATGCTAAAGGCATCCCATGATTGTTCCATGTGACTGTCATTGAAGAGAGATGTCAGAATTTTATCACAGAAGACACAAGAGTTACCATTCTTTCCTTTCCCTCCTCACCAGAGCACGGGGCGTTGCAAGCTAACCCTTGCCAGTCACCACAACCAAAAGAAAGGAAGATTTCTTGCTCCTCTGTTTTTTATTAGAAACCGCTAACCTTCTCCTAGATGATTTGTTATGCTTATAACAGAGTAACAAAGCATGGTAATCAAGTTTCTTGAAGGACTGGTAACAGCCAGACTTCATGTGTTTTCTCTTGCTGCCCAGCCACCATTTTCAGAGCTGCAAGGCCCTGCTCTGATTTACACAGTCCCATACATTGAGATTCTTTGCTTCCCAGCAAAGAATAAATATAAAGAATTAATTTGCCTCCCATAGCCATCCTCCAGGAACGCCACGCAGCATCGGGGTGCAGTGTCCAGGCCTGATACTCTATAGCACAGCAGGTGCAGAAAGAGTTCACAAATCGCTGCTTGATGGCTACTTGGTTTTGTAGGAGGATCAGGTCACAACAGGTAACCAGCCTGGTTTTCATCGATAGGAGATTCGATTGATGTGGCATCTCTTTTACACCTAAATGAAAACCAATACCCTCATGGAAGCAAAGACTTTGCTGGCACTGAAGAGACAGATCCCTTTGAGAAGGGCTCATTAATAAAATGCACCCCCCACACACACTGTCAGGCTAGATCAGTTAACGCTAGACAGGCTCAGAAAGAGCTGTGGTTCCAATTCTGCAGGCAGAGCTGGGGAGAGGACAGCCATGCAGACAGAATAAAGCATAACCCCAGCCCGTAGCTAACCCAAAGGCTTCTCACCTGGATTTAGCAGAAGTGTGTGCACTGGCTACGTAAGAGACACCAGACAAGGCAGAACAGATGCTAGAAAACAGACTTAAGTACTAGAAGACAGAGTGCTTAAGCTCTGACTATGCAAAACCATTTCCGCATGCTTAGAAGGTGTATCTGTGGTTTAACATGATGCCCTACACATATTACAAATAATGCAGGTCTGATCACTTTCCTTCTTCTGAAAGCAGATGCTGTTTCAGAAAGTTGCTTTTAAAGAAGTTTAGCAATTGCGCAGCAGTATTTGCTCCTATCCTAGACTGTTTCAACAAAAGGCTCCTTACTCCCAAACCAGGGCAAAAGTGTTTGCAGGAGCAGGATCAACAATGAGCAAATCCGAGGGGAGGGGATAGGAGGGAGACAATGAAACTGCAAGCTGTGCCTTTCCCCATCCATTCACCTTATCAGCACATCAGCCTCAGTCACCATCCTGGCTTCGCTCAGCCCCACTAACAGTTTTCACTATGGAAATGTCACGCAATCAAAGCCTTATTCTGTAGCTATCGCCTTTCTCAAGCCTCATTTGTTCAATTGGACCAAGAATGGTTGTTAATATAAACCAAAATACCACAGGAGAAGAATCCTTTCCTTGTAAGGGAGGTGTGCTGCTCGCCCCTGGTTACCTGCAAAGTACTTGATTTCTTTTCTCAAACAAGCTTATGCACCGCCTCGCTGCAGATGACACCACCTTCTTGAACTCGCACCGGCAGCACCTCACCTCACCCTGCGCTATGCCCAAGCACAAGTAGCTTTGGAAGAGACATAAGCAGCAGCCGTAGTAATCTCATTCCTCTGGCAGTGGAGCAAAGCACAGGGGCATGGGGTAAAGTGGCACGCGTTGCTCCGAAAGGGAGCCTGCCTGCCTGGGCTACACATCACTGCCTCACAACGCAGGTGCCGTTCCCTCGTACCAGAGCTGCGCAGAGGCTGGTTGGTAGTAAGAATCTTCCCCATCGCCTCCTCAGGGCAAGTCAGGATCCCAGTTTGAGGGCGGCTGTTCCCCACACACAAGCACTGGACCTCATTCTTCACGCCTCACATGCTAACTGCTTAGGATAGCGTTACAGGGGGGGAAACGACACTCGAAGGTCTACTGCTAATCCTGCACAAGACTTACCGAAAGGGGTCCTTGGGAGCGAAGTAAGCTGGGGCAGACAAGTAACTTCCCATCTTCAACACTGGATAAACCGGCTCAGCCACAAACTTGTCCGACTGCCTCTGAACAGCTCTGTTCTGCCAACATGGCAGCAGCCAGTGCTCATTTAACCTTGCGCTGATTCAGATACTTCACCTCTCTTTGAAGCTGCCCAAGGAATGCCAGGTCTCTCGGCTGCTCATTCCTTCTCAGATTCTTCCTGGCTCCCATGGCTATAACCATCTTCTCCTGTACTCAGCAGCAGCAGCACCCTTGGGAAGGATAGAATAACTGCTAACCGGGCTAGTTGGACATGCTTCTGCAATAGTTCTTGCGAGCTCTGCTGCCTGCTAACTATTGTCAAGTTTTCCCTTCTCTGGTTCCACCCAAGGGTGGGAGGGGAGGAGGAGCCATTGCAAGACAGCCTGTGGCTACAGAGGCTGAATTAGCTCTACTTTTGCGCAAAGGGTGGAGCTTTGATCCAAAAAGGGGCTGCATTGGTAAGTGCTGAAAGATAGCAGCTTTTGCCAAAGGAAGAGCCGAGTGCACAGACGTGAAACTGCTCTCTGCAGCAGTGGCACATTCTGAGGGAGAAGTCAAGGAAGGCAGGGTCTGACGAAGACAACTAGCTACATCTCCAAACACATCAAATTAACATTTACTACATACCTTCCTAAATCCCTCACAGTAAGTGGGGTCATACAACCTTCACGGTACCTACAATCTGTTCGTCCTCTTGCAGGAGGTAACTCACAGCATGCTTCCTCCAAGGAAAAAACCCTTTCTTTCCAACACTGTTTTAACAGAGATCATTGTAAGCATTTAACCTAATCTTCATCTCCTGCATGGAAGCTGAGAGGTACAAATCAGCCCAGACGAGTACTCTCTCCTGCATACAGCACGTGTAGTTATATCGTTTTGCTTGCTCTGAAGCCAAGCATGATCTTTAGTGGCCTAATCAGCTAAAGCTGTTTGCAAGACACTCAGAAATGCAACAAACACATGCTGCTGCACCAAGCCCTCCCATTTCTGTACAGTCAGCAAAGCCTGGCATGCCTGAACACAGCCTCAAAATCATGCGATGTTCCAGAGGCAAGAGTACTCAAATGTGCTTTTACTGGAGATGCTCGTCTCAGCTGGCATATTGTTCAAGGGACGCTTGGGGCTGGGACGAGGCAGTCTTGGCTGCACATTTGACAGCTGCTGCTTGCTGTTGAAGTAAGCAGAAAGCCAGGCAGCCATTTCAGTTGTTTTTTCTTGGTGTTTTTTTGTTGTTGTTGTGTGTCGTCCCCCCCCCTTTTAATAAGCATCCACCTTTCTAGGGGAAGAAAAAAAAAAAAAAATCATTATTTTTTCACCCATTCAGTGCATTTCTAAGCCTGGCTGTAAAAGTGCAGTGAAGCCTAGTGCTGCAGAGCCCGATGTGGTTGTCAATTCCAGCACGGGTCTAATTCCTTCTGACATTTCACACAGCTCTACTGGAAGCAGCAACACGGTGAGTCTGTGTCTAGGAATGCACTCTGGTCTCCCACATTCTCTATATGTTGCGTGCTGAAAACGGGCCAGCGCTCACAATCCGAGGCTTCCCTGGCTATCAGCACTACCCCTCAACACGCACATACCTCCAGTGCATCGCAGCGCCCCTCCCCTGCCCAGTATCACCTACAGACAAAAGCTTTTCCCCACAATTCTGCTGCCGTGGGCTGAACTCCCTCCAAGGGGGATTCCACGTGACCTCATAAATCCCAACTCTTCAGACAAAACCTTTGAAGATTTGATCCACAGATGCGATAAGCAGCCAGCTCGTCTGTGAATAAAGCCAGCAGATAAAGCCTAACTTCAAAGTAATAAAAACCACCCAGACAGCTAAGCAACTGGGAAGGGATTTTGAGACTTCCCTAAAGCCAAAGGACACATAGTCAAATATCTATTTAGACAGGAAACATCTTATCAAAATTATTTTACTTTTGCAGCAAGCCCCAGCAGCAACCAGTAAGTTAGTTTTTCCTACACAGAATACTTCTTGCCTTTTTTTTTTTTTTTTTTTTTTTTTTTTTTTTTTTTTTCATTGTCTTTGTGACCTATCTGAGAACACAATAGCTCTGATAAAAGGGCTCTGGAAAAGGTGTTAATGCATTCATACATTCTAGATCTGAATTCCTGCCAGAATGACTGTACTTCAAAAATGCTGATAAACAGGTGGGGGGGGGGAATGACACCTTTTCTATGTAATTTTACTGATACCATCTCTGAGGGCCAAAATGCACGGAAGCAAATTTCTTTTTCACCAATTGAAGTCAGATATCAGCATCTTCTCTCTTGCAAATGGTGACAGCATTTCCTCTACAAACATCTAGCTATCACAGGGGGTTGCTTTCCTTACTGCGATTTAGAGTTGTAATTTTTGCCAGAAAGAAGCCCGAAAAACAGAACTAGCAAATAAAAAGAAACAAACGAAAAATCTTGACAATGACTTAACATGAAATTTATTGCAAATTGAGTCACAGCCATTACTGTTTCATCCCCACAGAAATGCATCACATAGCTATTGTAATATTCAAGTGATTAATATCGTAAAACAGCTGGGGTTAGGCTGCACATCTAGAGACCCTCTTTACCACCCAGTTCATGCTGTCCAACAGCGTGCCTACAGACAGATGTGCTGTATCTAACAGCCCTAAGATACACAAATTTATCCTGGCACAGGCAGGCACGTTGGTATGTGTGGGACTGGTATAACCTGGGGAAAAGGCATCTGCTTGATGCCTGAAGAGTCTGCAGCAAGACTTTGTTTCAGCATGGGCACAGTTTGGAGGCATTCCAAATACTTCAGTACAACCCCAACACCTCATTGTATTTCCAAGGCACTTACACATAACACGTGCTTTGCTGCTGTTGAAAGACAGAGTCAGCTCCTGACATCAGCTACTGAAACTAAAACCATTTTGAGACACACGTACCTCTGAGTGAAAGCTCTTGGACACAGCTCTTGAGTAAACTAAAAGGATCAGTGAAGCGAAGCTCATCTCCATCACTGAATCTTACTCCTAAGCAGCAGCAGACCTTCAGACCAACACAGTGATGCCTTGTTGGTACGCAACATTGCTAAGCAGAACATCAGGATGGAGATAGTGTTTTTATCTCCACCATACTGGCCTAATGGCTGCAGACCTCCTGAATACACATAGGCTGAGAAGCAAACCAAAGAAATTCAACCTATTGAAACTTCATAGTTTATATGTGATTTTGGAAGCAGTGACTTCTGATCTGTAAATGGCAATAAGACTGGCACTTACACCACTGCACCTTCACTTGCTGCTTCTGTCTGTGCAGACCGCTAAAATCCTCAGGGGAGGATCCGGACTCACTCATGTGGAAAGCCTACCACATACTGGGCTGTGTGAGTAATTCTAATTACCTCGATATAATAATGCTCCGATAACAATGCCCTAAAGGACAAGCTGCGCAAGTCTGGAATGCCCAACTCCTCCTTAAATATAAAGGGTCATCATGGATGTCCTGTAGCTGATAGATTCCCCTGAGGAATTCAGCAGATTCCACCTGCAAAGTACTTCATTGTTCCTTTGGATTTTTAAACTCCTGAACAGTCATGGTGATCTGTGTACCAACAGGCACTTAGCAACTATTTCTCCCCAGATCTGACAGTGAGCTGGTGAATGACAATGCTGATGGAGACACCGTCAAAGAGATGTTCCCAGGAGCCTGCAGGATTAGTGGGAAAGAGCTCTCACCTCTGAGGCCTTATTATTTGCTTTCTGTAACTGCCAGAAACTGGAGAAGACAAGGAAGAAGAGATTCTTCTCTTCCTCATTCTACCATAATTCATCTGCCTTTTGTTCCTACTGATCTTTACCCTGCTCTCAAATTCAGCTACTGTGGGTACAAACCTGACTCTCTGTTCACAGCTGAAAAGCTAAAGGAAGATTCAAAGCACCAAAAATCGTCACATTTCAAATTTGTCTTAATACACACCTTCGCTTACATCTTTATTTGTCAACACTTGTACATTTGAGCCTCACATCCTGTCACTGTAGATCTGTTTGTCCTGTTGTCTGTGGGGAGGAAGCGGCTTTTGGAAAATGAAGGCCTGTGCCAAACAGTTTGAACCAACAGAAGTGATCCAGAGCCTAGAAAATACAGTCTATGAGAAAAAGCTAGGTCTGGGGCATCTTGAGACTGGTGGATTGCTGCTTTCAAACAGGAAAAGGTTACTTGAATAACAGAAGGGGGGGAAAAGGCTCCTTTTCCATGCCCATTGTGAACGTGATTAGAAGAAATTGATTTAAATTGCAACAAGGGGAATTTCTGAAGATAGTAGACAGAATCTTCTAACACTAAGGATAATTAAGTGCTAGTAGACATAATCTGGGAGACGGACACCTGCAGTGATGGGAGATGGTTGGGTGACCAGTTTCTTGGTCATTCCAAAAGCCATAGGAATTATTTGCTTCAAACGTAAGCTGAAATTTAGTAGATAACCTAAGAATCACAGAAAACAGATTTGGAAAATACCCTCAAAAATCATCTAGTTTATTCTGCAACCACCAAAGCAGGTTTAACTAACTATATACGTTGCCTGGCTTGCCTTCCTCTGCCCCCAAGGGTGAAAAGGATCAAGGTGATGCACTAAGTTTTGCTGAGTAAAAAATATTTCTATAGAACACTAAATACGCTATTCAGTATAGAAAAAACACATCTTTGTACAAAAATCACATCACCAGTGCTGGCAAATTAACAGTAGCCTGGAGCTTTAGGGCATCCCCTCGATGCACGGATAGCTAAGCCAGTTCTGTCTTCTGACCACGGACAACCGTCACGCTGCGGAGAGCGCACAATGCGCAGGGGATGCAGGATTCCGGGAAGAATCTACTTTTAACCTTGTTCCACTACTGAGAAACAGTCAGAAGGAGAATTTGTTTCAAATTCACTTCAGAATACCAGTAGGAGACAGAGCCAGGAGTTGTTCTGTGCTCTGCCAGAACTGTTCTATTTTTCAAGTATTCATTTAGAGGAAACAGCCTTCTGGAGGTTACAACACTCCTTGTGTTTAGTTTCTAGCTCCAGTAAAGATTAACAGAAATTGAAATGGAGTAACACATTCAAAAAGAGTACAAGCACCTGAACCCCAAACAATCTGTCAGGTGAACTAATCTAACTCTAGGTAATAAGGCAGCTTTTATTGTGATTTAAACAAATAAATTTTATTCCGTTAGGTTTTTTTACAAGTGTAACCAGTTCCTTAACGATTTCAAGACTGTATTTAATTTTAGCCAATATCTTTTACTGGAAAGACAACTTACTGCTTACAATTAGTTAAATATAATAATGTAATCCCTGATCACTATAAAAAGATTTAATATCTATTTAGTCAGATATAAAAAGCTTACACTTTTTAGTCACACAGTTGTTTATATTATTAACTTAACATCAAACTATTTCATAATATAATTAAAAAAATACAGAAAGCCATGAGAATTTTTCCTGAGGTCAAGCTGCATTGCATATGCATAAAGATCTGGCATATTAAGCAAAAAGGAAGTATTTGTCCAAACTGAATTAATAGTTTCTGGTCACCATCATCTCCAGTGGTTTAGACTTACTAATGAAAAATCTTGGATTCATACAAAGTTTTCCTGCTTCCCCTTCCTCTTCCAAAAAAAGAAAGATGAGCTTTTCTACTCTTCGAACTCCTGAGGAGTTCTCAGATTTTAATAAACTGTTCACAGTGTATCTTCAAGTTACTGAAGGTGACAGATTACTGATGATTTTACAGTTACAGATTTAACAATATATTATTTAGTTTATACCATAACCAGTTATTCTCTGATGTGGTGACTTTGGCTTCTTTTTGAGATTTCTGCAGCAAGCCTGTGTTGCTTGGCTACTTAAATTAGATTTATTTTATAGACCATAGTAATATACATCCTCTGTTATTTCACAGTTAGGAAGGAACTAAACCTCAGCTGTCTTCCTTCCTAAAAACTTCTTAAGCACCCCACTACAGGAGGAATTCCTACCACCATTTCCAATAATTTTCTTCATATGGGTCCAAAAGCATTTTCCACCTGGATGTATTCAACAGGCTTGATCTGCATTCATGGTTTCAAATAATGAAAGCTGGATTTTTAACAAATACTGCGTTCTTAAGA